TTTGTTTGGGGGCTTTCCGTCCACTGCATGTAAGCTTACTGGAATTCCTTTTTCTTTAAGGATATAAAATCGCTTAAACCGGGATCTCCGTGCTGGAAAGTCGAGTTTTTATTTATGTATATTACAATAACAAGGGTATCAAGACTGATATCATACCTGCTCTTGCATGAAAATAAAAGTTACAGTGAGACGTTCTTCTTAAACCAGGGTTTGATGTGAAAGATCTTTCAGAAGATGGCCCGGATGATTTAGAGGGTTTGGACGCTTCGGCCGCACATGTTGCATATTTGTTATCAACAGAGCCATCTGACAGTATGTTTCTCTGGCAATTTAAATACTATTTCTTTTGCCTTTTCCAGTGGTTGCTGACATAATTCTGCTGTAATCTTTTTGACAGTTAAGCTTGGTGTAGGAGGGTTCAGTATGGGAGCGGCCACTGCGCTTTACTCTGCGACCTGCCATGCAGTGGGAAAATATGGGAATGGAAATCCTTATCCAACTAATTTGAGTGCAGTTGTTGGGCTTAGTGGCTGGCTTCCATGTTCAAAGTTGGCTTCTGAATTTTGTCCTCTGGACATCCTTTGATCCTTTTACCATCAATTTAATGAGTTATCGTGGTGATTCCAGGACTTTGAAAAGCAAGATGGAAGAGAAGAATGCCAGTAATAGTGGAGCGGGATCGTTGCCTATTTTGCTTTGTCATGGAAAAGGTATTTATAAATTTATAATTGTTCATGTGCTAAGAAAGGATAAAGTTTGCTTGTTCCATACATCAAAGGATGGAAACTAGGCTTCAAAATGTTGGGTTCTGATAATGGTGATTTGGTGTGAAACTTGTTGCAGTTGATGATGTGGTTCTTTATAAATTTGGAGAGAAATCTTCACAGGCATTACATTCAGTCGGATTCCAAGATGTTATATTCAAATCCTACAACGGGTATGTTTCGTGAGTGTTCGAATATGCTTTCGAAAAGTCCCGACTTCATATGATATCAACTCACGTATTGTTTGCAGACTTGGGCACTACACAGTTCCTGAAGAGATGGATGAGGTCTGCGCCTGGTTAACTTCAAAGCTGGGGCTGCTATAGAGGGAGGGAGGCTCTCAATTTGTTTGCTCAATTTGTAACCATTGGGAACAAATTTGGTGTGATATTATTATTCCTTTTGGAGACCTATATTTGATATGGTTTTTACCCCAAGATTTAAAAGCCTTTTGGCGAACTGCAGAGATACCCTGACATGAACTTTGGATAATTTAATCTTACACTTTATTGTTACTCTTTACATAATCATTCCCTGTACCTCTTGTTTGATGCCGTTGTTTTGATATAATATCATATGAGGAAAGGATTGTAGAATTGTGTTACAAAATGAGGCAAGATTGTCATTATAAAACGACATTCAAATTGATATCTAATGTTCTTGTGACTCAATTAAAGGTCTAAAGTAACAATAGCTACTTAACAAAAACAACATTCTATTTCAAAATGTCTAATACAAAGAAGGCTTACAGTTTTTACTTTTGCAACGGAGACAAGATCATAGTTTGCATGGGATGAGATTTGTTAGCAATAGAAAAGACTGACTGCCTGCTCTCACTTGTGAGATTCTTCGACAAAAGCAACATCAGTAACTCCGGTCGAGGGTGTCAGCAGTCGCTTCTCTTCGTCGTTGTCGATTTCTGCCGGGACTTGCTGAGTGTTGAGTGACAGAGGCTCGGAGGTACATTCTTCCTCTGGAGGAAACAAACCCCAAATGGTAATGCTATTAACCGCATACTTCGTTGGATTCAAGTTTTAACTACATACGTATTTGATCAGATCCCATGTTTGAAATCAATTCAAGAAGGCAACGACATTCAAGTGAAAGACGACAAACCTGAGTATTCGCGGGGCTCGGGCAATTGTTTGACAGTAGTAGATTGAAGGCTTTCAGGTAGTAAACAGCTGCACAAAACACCTGAAGTTTTCACCAGAAAAAGAAGTTAGCAGAATTCACTTTTACGCGTGCAAATGCATGCAGAGACCGAGCTCGACATCAAACTGACAACATCCATGCGCATCAGATGTTCTTGAGTAAATGTTATAAGAGTAAACTAACATCATTCATTGTTATATTTTCATCACAGTAAAGACTGATAATGCATCAATGGAGTGTAACAAACCATCATCATTGGAGTTACAGCTTGCAATGTAAGGTATTGTCAAAACAAAGCACATAGCATTTCTCCCAACACATATTTTTCGTTTTTAACATTTGTAAGGAAAATCAATTGAACCAGAGTCGTAGACACCTTCTGCAACCGCCCAAGTCCACCGCTAGCAAATATTGTCCTCTTTGGACTATTCCTTTCGAGTTTTCCCTCAAGGTTTTTAAAACGTATCTGCTAGGGAGAGTTTTCCACACCCTTATAAAGCGTGTTTCGTTCTTCTTTCCAACCGATGTGGGATCTCACGCCTTCTATAAAGCAGAAACTAGAAGTTTTTATTAAAGATGTCATATGAATGTATAAAGAAGTGGCTTTTTTAGCAAAGGAGGTTTTCCTCCACAATCAAATGGCATCAACGTAACGGATGGCTATATGTCATACTATAATGACAAAAGGAATTCAATTAAAAGATGAATGCAAAGGAAGTAAACGATGAAAGTTCAGTGAATTGAGAAAAGTGTTACCCATCCGAGCAAGGCGATTAACCCAACCAGGTATCCTTTTCCCAGTCAATCTGCACGAGACATCATCCGTAAAATGATTACAGTTCTTGGAAATAAGATGATATGTATCTCCGTGATAATCAGTAGCAACAGTTTGAAGAAACTTTCTGAATTCAGAGGGAGGCATATCAGCATGTCCCAACGTGACAGAACATCGGTATATAAAGCCTGGACAGCTCCTTGGTTCTACTTCAAAAACTCCACTAGCGGGGAAGTCATGACCTCCAAACCCATACTCTTTGCCATGGACTGTTGTGCAATATGAAAGACATTTGAATGAATTCATACGTTGGGTTCACAACAGGAAGATAGCATTGAATTGAAAATTCTGAGCTCATAATCTTGAATTTTCTATGTAAAAAGGTGTCAATCCAGATTCAGCCTCCTAAGTTCCATGTTCTCTTATTCCCATGCTAAAATTTCATTTCAGTTACATTCAAAACCAAAAGCTTAACACAATTCCAAAAGAAAAGGAACAGTTTCAATAACATTTCTTCAGAGACATTTTAACAAACACAAAGGGTGCATCAAAATCAGGAAGATATCAAACAGGGGAAGGGCAGAAGCAGGATAAGGAAATCACCTTCAATACCCGAATGGAAAACCCCAAAACCAAACCAATAGGAATAATTGTTGGCAGGGGTGAGATCATAAACGTTCAACACCACCTGGGTCTTCTTCTTATCGTTCCTATCTCCACTTTCGGGGGTCGTTTTCGAGGTGCTCTCTGCTCCCATCTCCAAAAAATGTCTAGCTAGAATATGTATATCCCTGAACGTTCCCAAAATGAATCAAAATTTGGAAAACCTAGAAAAGAAAGCTATTTTCTTTCAGTTTTCCTTTGCCTTATTCTTCTCTGCCCATCGGAGAAAAAACATGCATCAAAGAAAAGAAGTCGATCTCCGGCGAGACGGGAAAAGGAAAAGGCTAACGAATTTCGACGAATGATGAACAGAAAGAATGCATAATATAAATTTGGCATCGAGAAGAGGATAAACGGAACGTTCGATTTGCTGCCCACCCAAATACCATTTCCATTTTTGGTCTCAAAATGCTGTCTTTTCAACATGACATCTGATTCTGGTAAAAAAAATGTTGATTTTTTTTAGAGTTATTGCTTGAGAATGCGACCTTTTAGAATAAATAGGTAAAAATGATTTTTTAACCAAAAAAAAATCCAATTTTTTTTAAAAAATTATATTTGTTTTCTAACTCCTTTTTTCTAATTATAATTTTCACTGAATGCAAGTAAATAATAATAAAAAAATTCAAATAAATTCAGGAGTGAAAATAATATTTAGGAGCTTTGAATTTTAAAATCCTAAATAATTTGGATTTTAAAATAATTATGAAATGGTGGATATTAATGTGATTAGATACTTGTGGGTATCGATGGACATGAGCTTCAATTTGGTGAAATTTTGTATGGGTAGGACCATGTACCTTAAAATTGAGAGGCTGTTTCCTATTCATAAATAATGGAAAGTGGACAAACCCTAATTGCCAAAATTATTGTTATTTGGATTTGATTCGTGGTGAATAGAATCAACTTCAAACGTTGGGCTATTCGAAATTAAGAAGTCGAGCTTATATTTCATATAATATAATTCAAGCTCTGTATTACGCTATTGCATACCTTCTATAGGGATCGTAAACTTAGCTACGAATCAACTTGTATACATTTAGATTTTTGAAAGTTCTTTGTATAATTTTATGTGAGATCCCACGTTGGTTGGAGAGGAGAACGAAACATTCCTTATAAGAGTGTGGAAACCTCTCCCTAACAAACGCACTTTGAAACCGTGAGACTTAAGAAGATACATAACGAGCCAAAGCAAACAATATCTGCTAGTTACAAATGGTACCAAAGCCAGACACCAAGTGATGTGCCAGCAAGGACGCTGGACCCCTAAGGGGGTGGATTGTGTAACAAGAGCCTCTGCCACTAGGTCTAAGATGCATTCGACCCAGAGAAAATCTCGAAGTGCTGCATAATGTCACAATCCACAGGGATTGTGGCCCATGTAAAAGTAGACACATATCAAGATAAGAGGCTTATCATTTAGCTAATTGATTGCATTCATATAGCTTAAGAGTTGTAAGATGAACTAATGTTTGATATGCAAGTTCACTCATATTGACCTAGTAGTTAGCAGTAATGATGGAACCTCTTTTCGTGGCTGTTTCTTTGAGGCTGGATATCCATTTAGTTGGCATAGAAGATGGATGGTCCAAGAGCCTTCGATTGAAAATACCACTTCCTGAGAAACAAAGTAGTTTTATTGAAAAGAGGAATATATATATATAGAGAGAGAGAGAAACTAAGTTGAAAGTGCAGCAACATATGTAGAGAGTACGAGGGCTGCCAAAGAAAGACATTTAAAGACTCGAGGTCCAGTAAATTACAAGATTCGAACCAGAATTGATCCAGAATCAATGGAACACATGATAAAGGCAGCAAGGAACAGCCTCCATCTTTCTTTCCGTTTGAAAGAACAAAAGGGCAACAGAAGCAGTAACCAATTACTACCTGCTGCCACACGCAGATTGAGAAAATCTGTTTACTCAACCATCCTCAAAGCATGAGAATCAAAAGAAAACCACATACATCAGTATCAAGGTGCATTATCTGGAGTTGTCTGTCTCTGTACGCGCTCATGGCGCCTCAACGGGCCTGATCCATCATCTGAAGTGTCATTATCTTCATCTCTGGAAGATGAGCCTATTTCTCCATCATAACTCTCACCCCATAGTCTGGTTGTTCTCCTCCTAAAACTTGGTTGGCCTCTAGCTCTAGATACATTAGACCAACTGCTGCTTCTTCTACTGGATTCAGGTCTAAAAACTCGAATAAGGAAGAAAACTGTGAGCCAACCACCATCATCAATGGGTAAAATACTATCATCAACCCTATCCTCTCCAAATGATGATTGTAGTGTGCTCAGAAGGTCTCCCAAGTCCCTCTGCCGCTCGAGTCGTCGCCAGTTATGCTGTCGTTCAGGGTCTACTTCTGATGGACGCACAAGAGGATGCTCCTTCCTTGCGTGCTTCCTAAGATCTGTATAGGGTCCACTGAAGTTACATGTCTCACAGGAACAACTTCTGGGTTTTGCATTCATGAACTGACGAGCATGCTCGTCAACAACCCACTTTTTTATCCTCCCTCGGCACAAAGGGCATACCAACTTTGGTTGCATCTGATTTTCACAAGATGAAGGGTGCACAGGAAGCTGAATCCCCTCAGTCTGTTCATCTGGTGTATCATCAACCACGGGCTCAGATTCCAATGTCGGCGAAGAGTTTACTGTTGGGAGCGAAGAGTTTACCGTTGGGAGCTCCACTTCTTCCTGCACTGGCATTATACTTGAAGTTTCTGAAAACAACTTGCAGAATTGATCTAGACAATTTGAGTGGCGTCGACTAGTATCACACATGTAAGGACGGCAACCCTTTTCATGGGATGAACATATGAGTAAAACTGCATTATGAGGATGCTCCATGCACACAGGGCATCTGACTTCTTCCCACTCTCTCAAATTATCCTCACTTCCCAAGGGTAGTTTAGGTGAAGATCGTCTAGCGTGACTCGAGCTGCAACTGAATGGAGATGCTCTATACCTATCATGAGATGCAGAACGATCTCTTCTCTCCTTCGGCATGATGAATCTTCTAGAACAGAAAAAAGCGCCCTAAAGTGCTGAGCAATCCTAACCAGGAAATTGCATAAAAAAAAAAAAAACCTGTAAGAGATCAATTTTAACATAAAATTTTACACCCTTTTTCACAATACTAAATAAGATGTAGTCTACGTTTGTGCCCATGTTCTATGTTGTGTTATCATATGACTAAAAACACAATGCAGAAAATTTGGCCAAAGGCATTAGGAAAAGGACACTCCTAATTATGCCATTAAATGACTAGCTCATTGCTTCTTAAAGTATAACAAGGAGATTAGAATGGCAATACAAAAAAAATTAAAAAGAAATAAGACAATGACAAAGCAGATTCCACAAGAACATGTCTCAAGGGAGCAGCAGCTATGCTGTTTATCAACTCAAGAAATCATTCTCTTCAAAACACGGGGAAAACATGGAACAACAATTATAGAATTGGTTGAAAATAACGAAACGGACTCAACAAAATTCCACATAGAAGACTACATCAATAGAAGTCGTTTTCAAGATACAAAATTGGATTTCAAGATATGAATCCATTGTCTTGCTAATTTTCCTGAAGAAATCATGGCTCGAAGCTTCAACATTAGCAGTAGTATGTGAAATTTTGTTAATGAATGTACGGCTTTCTGTATTATTTAGATTTATATGACAGCCACAGTTCAGAAATGGCTGAAACCAAATGCTAAGTAACTGCAGATATAAATGATTTAGTACTCCAATTCCTTCTTTTTCATATGAGATAAAACATTTTTTCTTAAATAACATGGGATTAGTGCGATTGAAAGCGTGAAATCAATCGTAAAAGCAAACTACATGCTCATAGTTTTCAATACAATCACCCTTGTTCTCAGTCATTACAACAACAAGAACACACAGTTGCAAGTAATATTTCGAACAGAGCATTTCTCATTTCCAGAAAGAAAAGTCGATATAAACTCAAAACAAAATAAATTTCATAACACCAAACCAACCATCGACACAATCCAATCTCCAGCACAAGCCAAAACACCAGCTTAAGATATATGCAATTTCACAACCATAAGTCCTAAGGCTCGTCTCAAGTCCACTTAAACCATCAACACCAACCCCCCCCCCCCAAACCCACAAATTCTAAGGGGAAAAAGGATCATCGGGGGAAAAATGAAAGGGAAATGAATCGATTATGAAAAGATCCCCTCAGAGCCCCAAGAAACAAGAATCAGGAGAGCAGGGTTTGGAGAGGGTAAGAGCAAAGAATTACCAAAGAGAAGGAATTAAAGAAATGGAATCCTCAGAAGTTGTCAGTGAAGAGATAATAATCTTATCGATTGGGGAACAAGGAAGACGATGAATTGCTCAGACAATCGAAGCTCGATCTAGGGCAGCTTCAGCAACAGCGAGAAAGAAAGGACAGAGAAATTCCCCGGCGCTATATATAAACAATTGCCTGCTTACATGGAACCGACGTGGATCATCCCAGTTCGCTTATGAAGACTTTTACTTTAATTTTTTTTTTCTTTTAAATATTAATTTGATATCCTATATTTCTGTTTTTTGACACTCTAATTAATAATATAATATCTGTTCTTAAACTTTAATTTTTTTTACAAAATTAATATTTTTTTTAAAAAATATGAAATAGAAAAGAAAAAAAACCTAGCACGATGTACCGAAAGGAATAGATCATAAATAGTGAGAGCACGGTTGAACCATGTGAATTAATTAATATAAAATAAGATCTAATTACATTGACCAAACAGTTGGTTTAACCTAAAATTAATTAAGAATTTTATCGATCGCATTTATTTGTTTAAAGAAGTATATGAAATAAAAAGATTATGTTTGAATGATTTTGGGAATTAAAAATTTAAAAAGCCAAGCTTGAGTCATGTCTAATCATGGTTTTATATTCTATGAAGTATTACACCTTAAAAATGGCTTTTCGTTCCTTGTAGAATTGAGGTTTTTTAGCCGCCCTTTCACGCTCCTAATGGAATTTATCCATGTGCAAGAGCCAACTTTGCTCGTGTAACAACTCGAGTTCAAGACTATCACTAGTTGATATTGTATGTTATAATCTGTTACGTATTTGTGAGATCTTACGTCCGTTGGAAAGAGGAACGAAATATATTTTATAAAGATGTGGAAACCTTCCCTAACAAACACGTTTTAAAATCTTGAGGAGAAGTTTGAAAGGAAAAGATGAAAGAAGATAATATTTGTAAACAGAGGGTTTGGGCTGTTACAAATGATATTAGAGTGAGACAGTGGACGATGTGCCAACGAGTGGATTGTGAGATCTAACATCGATTGGAGAGGGGAACGAAACATTCTTTATATGGGTGTTGAAACCTTTTCTTATCAGACGCATTTTAAAACTCTTGAGGGGAATCCCGAAAGGAAAAGTTGAAAGAGGACAATATATGATAGCGGTGGAACTGTTACACATGGTATCAGAACCAGACACGAGATAGTGTGCCAGCGAGGACGCTTGGCCCTGAAGGGAGGTGGATTGTGAGGTCCCACATCGATTAGAGAGGGGAACGAAGCATTCTTTACAAGAGTATGGAAACCTCCCCCTAGTAGACCCGATATAAAACTTTGAGGGAAAGCCCATAAAGGAAAACTTAAGGAAGACACTATCGGCTAGCAGTGAGTTTGGGTGGTTAAAGTATCACCATTTTTTTTTTAAAGCTTTACTTGTGAGAAGTTTCTATACCTTTATAAGAAATGTTTCGTTCTCCTCCTCAACCGATGTAGGATCTCCTGCCTCTCACAATCTTCGTAGATTATTATTCTATATCAATCTCATTTCTGTACTATACTGTTGACAGAGATCGGAGTGGCATATATCGCAGCCATTGTGTCGACAAGACTGTTTCAAGATTTCTTCAAGCCAAACTCAACCATTTGAAGCATGAAGTTTTCAAAACGACAGTTTTTGCTTCTGAGTCGTGGCTACCACAAAAAAGACTGCTCTCCATCTGTGAAGAGCTATGCAGTGCACTACAAAGAAAATGTAAGCAAAACCCATCATCTGAAGAACAAACAAACACTGGCTTTCATTCCAACATAGAAACAGATCTGCATCAGACAAATATCAAGATTATGTAAATCATTCACCAATAGTCATTACATGAGCAAGAACCATCTTTGAAGTGATGAAAACGGTTCCTATCTCTAGCAATAATCTCTCTATTGAATATCTTAGATATTAGCTTTGTGGCAGCATGACAATTACGACAGACACGAAGATTTTTAATGATTGTAATTGGTGTTCCTGGTTTTGTACTTATCAATCCAAAAGCAATCGCTAATTTCTCACTATGGTGGCTTAGAGCTCCTTCTTTCCATTCTTCATCCATGTCATACAGTACCTCAGATGTATCTGGTACAAATCCGAACTCCTTTAATTGTCTGTCTACTTCTTCCAGCATCTTGTAAATGTTTTCACTTTGTGGATGAACTTTATCCCCGACCAGGAACTCGTGAACGACGTTATCGACTTCGATGGTGGTACAACCAGGAACTTTCTTCATTCCCTTGTCGTTCAATTTTGTTCTTATTGTTGCAACATCATCCCATTTACCAGCCCCTGCATATATGTTGGATAAAAGCACATAAGCTCCAGGATTATCTGGCTCGAGTTCGAAAAGACGTTCGGCAACTATTTCTCCTAACTCGACTCGTCCATGGTCTCTACATGCTCCAAGAAGGGAACCCCAAATGGCTCCATCTGGTTTCATTTCCATGTTTTGTATTAAGGACTCTGCTTCCTCAAACAACCCAGCTCGCCCAAGAAGATCTATCATGCATCCATAATGTTGGGATTTTGGAGATATCTTATAGTCTTGAATCATAGAGCTAAAAAATAGGCGTCCGAGATCAACAAAACCAGCATGTTTACAAGCAGACAAAACACCAACAAAGGTTATCTCATTTGGTTCAATTCCATCACTAGTCAGTTTTGAGAAAAGCTCAAGAGCTTCATTTGCTTGTCCGTGCATTGCTAGCCCACATATCATGGCATTCCAAGAAGCCAAGCTTTTGATATTCATACCATTAAAGACCTGTCTTGCCGCCTCTATATTACCGCATTTAGCATACATATCTATCAGACTCGTCCACAGAGATGTACTGGCTGAGTTGAAGTTTTTGTTTATATAAGCATGTATCCACTTACCAAGGTCAATGGCACCTAAACAAGCACAAGACGGAAGAACGTTAAGGAAGGTGATGTCAGTGGGCTCAATACCTGAGGCTAGCATCTCGCGGAATAGCGCCAAGGCTTCTTTATAGCTGCACATGTGAGTGTAACCGCCGATCATAACATTCCATGAGATCACATCCCTTTCAGGCATTTCATCAAACAACTCACGAGCAGTCTGAAGAGCACCACACTTTGAATACATGTCAATAAGGGCATTTACAAGCTTAAGATTTGAACGAAGCCCGCGATCTTCAATCCAAGAGCGCATCGAATTTCCTAAATCCAGAGCATTTGACTGAGCACAAGCAGAAAGAACGGAGACAATTGTACTCTCATTTGGGGGGACATTTGCTTTCCTCATTTCTTCAAACAACAACAACGCCTCTTTGGATCTACCAGTTTGTGCATATCCAGCAATCATAGCATTCCAGGACACCACATCTCTAACAGGCATTTCATCGAACAGTTTCCGAGCGCGATCCATATAACCCCACAACACATAACCAGCGATTAGTGCAGTGAAAGAAATTGCATCCCTGAAATTACTTTGATCAAAAACCAATTGGGCATAATTTATTTCACCGCTCTGCGCATACATATTGATAAGCGAAGTATGAATGAACACATCAGACACGAACCCAAGCTTCAAAACATGCGCATGAATCTGTTTCCCTTCACGGGCAGAGGCGAGCCTAGCGCAAGACTTCAAAAGAAAAGGAAAAGTGTAAGAATTCGGTTCTACCCCGGCATGAATCATTCTGGCAAAGAAAACCAAGGCCAGAACGGGCGATAGACTAATCGAAAGCCCTCGAATCATCGAATTCCAAATGAATAAATTGGGCTCTTCAATGGAATTAAAGAGCGAAACAGCATAAGAGATATCAGCATAGCGCGAAACAGCAGAAAACTCGATGAGCTTGCTGAGGGCGAACTGAGTGTTGTGGAGGCCAGTTTTGATGATCTGAGCGTGGATTTGTCTGAGAGTTCGAATGCTTCGGCATTTGGAGATAAGCTTGAGAGATGGGTGATCTTGAAGGAGCCTATAAGGCGGGTCGGAAGAAGGAGAGGTGGGTGAAAGTACCAGTGAAGGAGCAGAAGTCGCCATTTTTGGGCGCTACGAAGGTCTTGGTGGTGGCGAGTGCGTTAGAGATAAGGGTCGTTATTATTTGAAATATAGTTGTACGGACTTTCACCCGCCAAAAGCAAGCACTTTTTTTTTTTATTTTTTTTTTAATTTTTAATGAACTAAATTTGGTCTCCATATTTAAAGATTGTTCCATTTTTTAAAATTTGTTGAGCTATATTTATTTATTTTTTTTGAAAAAAATTAGATTAAAATAATTTTGGTCTGAGCTTATTTCATTTTAATTATATATAAAAAAAAATATAAATTTAATATGACAAGATTTTTTTTTATATAATTTAGTGATGATATCTTGTCTAAATTATGTATTTTTGTAAATAAAATAAATCGAGATAAATAAGTCAAAAAAAAAAAAAAAGACTGAAATCAGGAATCAAACCAAATTGCATCGTTCAAATAACGATGATCTCTTCATTACTAAAGCCTATTAGTCCGAGTACAATTACGAAGTAATAATAATAATTGGATTTATTTCAAAAAAAAAAAAAACAAATTGCACCGTTCAAATAACAATGATCTCTTCCTTACTAAAGCCTATTAGACCGAGTACAATTACGAAGTAATAATAATAATTGAATTTATTTCAACAAAAAAAAAATAATAATAATAGGATATATGGNGGAAGGGAATATTCATATTCAACCTTTGCTTTGAAGTGTTAGGATGAGGATTCTCCAAGTATTATTAAAGGGGTTTGCTCTTTTTCTTTTTAAGAACATAATAATTTTCCTTTTTCAAAAATTAAAAAAAAAAAATGGAGAGAATCAAGAATTTTTGGAATTATGAAAGCGTATTTGCATTTGTCTAAGGTTTTCGTGTTCCATTATTGGAATATTCATCGTGTCTTATTTTTACATTTTTGGCCTCTCTTTTTTATTTATTATTCTCCACCCACTTATGCTTACTCGGTCCTATGCGCATCCGTTAGATTTGTCTATGAAACACAAAATAAAAAATTTATCGTTCTACTCGACTCCTGAACACACTCGTCGTTATTTAAATAATTTCATATATCATTTAAAAAGAAAAAACCGAATTAATTTATATGTATTTTATAATGATTTTATCAAATATTTTATTTTGCACGTTATATTATTTAACTGTCTAGAATCAAATTCTTTCTTGAGTTATTTATTAATAGCTCCCCTACATACATGTAGAAAATAAAGAAATAAATAAATAAATAATAGATAAAGTTACATCTTCCAAAAAAAACAATAAAATAATAAATAGCCTTTTTGAAATTTTCGAAAATTCTGAGGCTGCCCATGTACTCTACCCAGCGTCGGTTCGCCGCAATCCTAATTATTCCAATTTATTTATTTACTATTTTTTAATTAAAAGTTTTTATTTATATTCTAAACTTGCCTAATTAGAGTTGCATCCATTCAATATTTTAATTATTATTATTTTCCCACTAATATTAACAAAAAAGAATGAAAATATTAAATTTGATTAATAGAATAATTTTGTTAAGCATATAAATTTCAATAAAAATTTAGGTTAATATCTTTTTTTTAATCCTATAATACTTTTATAATATACCTATGTTTTTTAATTTATTGAAAATATGAGAATATTTTTTTTAGTATGTTCTACTTTTTCAAATTTAATTGTAATATTTATTTAAATTTGACGAAATTAAAAGTTTAACATTTGACATATTTTAAGAGTATAAATTTATTTATTTATATATAATTTTAATTTTACATAACATTTTTATAATATGAACTTTTAAGTTCTTAAAATGTAAACATGAGTAAGATTTGTATAATTATTTATGCTTACAATAAGCTTAAGATTAAGAAATGGAATTTGCTTTAAACAAACAAATAACTAGTTCTAAAAGTTGAGAATATTCTAAATGTGCAACAAAATGTTGTAATAGACACCATTTAATATCTTATCTTTTTTCAAAAAAGAAAATTATTGAACATATATTTGATTTTGGTAGCTATGCTTTTCTTTATATTTACACAATCCATGCCTAGTATTTAGAATTTGGATTGACATTCAATGATCCTGACATTCTCTTACATCTTTTGCGATATCATCACGTGACTTCTCGCTTCTAAAAGTGAAAACTATTCTGGAGATCAAAATAAGTTATTTTAGTCCTCACTCACATACCACGTTTAACCTTAGATTTCTTATGATTGCACCACCGAAAAGGAAAGTGAACATTGTTGATATAGGTAGTAACTTTCGTTCTTTTAAGCCTTTCTTAGCTATCTATCCTCGTGATTACTCTCATTCAGATATGGTCTCGGCTCATTCATATATCTCTCATTTACTCGAGTGTCTCGACTAATTTAGGCATATATCCTCGATAGACATTCAAATCACTTGAACCCCACCTGAAAAAGAAAGTGGAGATAGAAATAGCATATGTGCATGCATATAAATTGAGCAATGGGAGGGCCAGAAGAAAGGCAGCAGGAGGAGGTGAAATGGGATGATGAATCTAAGAAGTGCCCATCTTTTTGTTGCATTATTGAAGGGAAAGGGAATTTGGGAGGCTGATGGATGTGCACTTAACAGGAATAGATTCCAATGGGGGAAAGAGAGGCAATTATATAACAATAATAACACAATGAACTTTTTGTTTCAGTTGTTTTGTGTTTTATTTAACCCCTTCTTTTGTGAAAGGGTTTGATCCACATAATGAAAGTACATGGGGAAGGCTTATTTGGCCAAGTTGGAGCAAACAAAGTCCACCCAACTCAAGGGCATCTCACCTAGCTACCACTTCCTACTAAAACCCCCTGTCCCAACTCCCAAACCCTTTTTTTTTTTCATAATCTCGATCACGAAGCCAAATGTTCAAATCTCACGTATCTAAACTCTATCTATAATTCCTAGTATATAATTGTTGTCCAATTTTTTGGACGTATGTTCTAACCATATTCATCTTCTATATAGCATCTCTTTTGTCAACCATAATCTACCTATTATTAGACAGCTTGGAAACTAATACGTAGAAATAGTGTTTACAAGCCTAGTTTTCAAGAACTAAATAGTTATCCAACATGATTTAAACTAGAATTAATAATATTAAAAGACCAAAAGTATTCAAGTAATGGAGTTGAACAATATAGATAGCAAAATTTAAACTTGGTTTTCATTAAGCCATTAGGGCTAAAACTATATTCAAACCTATATATACTTCAAAAGTGAAAAATGGAATCAATTTATCAGTGACAAATTTTGGCTTGTCTTCTAGGGTATCTCAAGATACAAAGTAAGGCATTAGTCTAGAGTAAACGCGGAATACTTTTGAGAAAAGTTATTACCCTACAAACAAAAGCACAAGAACTGGAATAATGATTTAAAATACTCATATGATTGCACGAGATGTCTGTTTTTCTAGGAATGAAATGTACCTTTCTGAATAGATTTGTATTTCTTAAAGAAATTAATCTACCATGTGAAGTTTTCAATAAGATATATATGTATATTATAGATAATAGGGGGCAGCTACGCCCAACGCAAGCCCCGAACAAAAGAAACATAAAAGAAATCTAGTATTAAGCTCACCTGAAGATTCAAATTTGGGATATCTAAGCCAGTATGCCTACGAGACTCCAAGCTCTTACCAACCGGGCTGCCCCTCGGGCCAAACCTTTTCTGTGTTAAGAATAAAGAGATAATCAACTTCCGGGAATCACATGAGGAGGAAACCATCCATGTAAAGGCAAGGAATAAAAGAAACACCACCATAAAATGGACCCCAACACTGAGAACTTNGCCAACTATATAAACCCCCCGCTCCCCCAGCAAACAAATTCAACAAACTCACTTCTAACAATTTTGAATTCTCATCCACCAATTCAATTCACCTATTACCCAACAGAACCATTCTTTATTACATCCATCTTTTCTTCATCAAGGTGAGCTTCCTACTTCAGTAGTCAAATTCCTTTTCTTTTTTTTTTTTCCTCCATTGGGCTTCTGTTATTAGGGGAGAAAAAAGCTCTTGGGATTCAACCTCCCCTCCCCCCCCCCCACAAAAGAAATATATGTGTATACACTAGCCATCGACAAGGCATTTGGGGAAAATTGGGTACTCAAATTTTGAAGTCTTTAAGTTTTTCCTCTTTTTTTTTTTTTTTTTGGCACTCCAATTGCATTCATAGAGCTTGAACATTTTTGAAGATTATGACAGTTTTTAGACCCTTTGTGCAGTTTTTTATTTGATTCTCTCTCAACTTATGGATAATGGTATTTTGATATATAGAAGGGAATGAGCTGGTCAGCAGGAGACTGGATATGCAACGTTTGCCAGAACGTAAATTTCAAGAAAAGAGAAGCATGTCATCGTTGCAGTTACCCCAAGTATGGAGGCCCAGACCCTTCAACTTACAGTTACAACAAGACGGAGGTGTTGGCCGGAGACTGGTACTGCACCGCCGTCAGCTGCGGAGCTCACAATTACGCCAGCCGCCCGAACTGCTTTAGATGTGGTGCATTTAAGTCCGTCTATCCCGGTGATTATGGCGCCTACATGATGGGTTCCGATCAGTATGGATCTGATGCAAGCATCCCACCTGGATGGAAATCTGGAGACTGGGTTTGCCCTAGGTACACACACAACAATAAACTTTACAATAAAAATTTATCCAAATAGTAAAGCCATTCAAATGGAAATATAATTCACACCTGCATTACTTTCAGCAACAGAATTTCAAATTCCTTACTCAAAAGATCACGGTGAAAATGTACAATAAAATTGGTTGATGTTGTTTAAACTCGCACCAGCATTCAATATGTTTAATTAACATGTAATGTTGAACTGAAAGAAAAAAACATATAATGTTGTGTTGTACAGAATTGGATGCGGAATACATAATTATGCAAGCAGGATGGAGTGTTTTAAATGCAAAACACCAAGAGGTTTCGGTGAGTGTATATCAATGAAAAACATAATTTGCACCTTTTTGTTATCTACTGCCCCTCAAAAAGTGTTTAATTTACCGTGTGTCACTTGGGTGTGATTCAATTTTGGGTGCTCTATCTTTTAGGTGGTGCAGTTTAAAGCGGGAAGGAATTTTGGAAGGCTCTCCTTATGCGATTATATCGTCTTCTTGGCATCCGATCCCTATCCAAATGCTGCCTTTTGTTTTCCTTTTTCTTTTTGTAATGACTAACAACAATAATGTTAAGCCCTTAGAATGCTCCTCAATATAGATATCATGGGTGGAGGCCCATTTTCCCCTCTTTAGCATTGCAATATAGCTTGCTACTCTCTCTCTCTCTCTCTATCTATCTATCTAATGGATGCGCAAAACAAGAACAAACATATCCAAATACTGTTTGGAATGTCAATGGTTGCTTTAAACACAGAATCAAATTGAAACGAGAACTATTATGTCAGCATATAGAAGCTTTGAGATTGAACCAGGGGGAAGGTTGAAAGGGTGGGGTATTGATTAAGATTCAGAATCTGTGTGAATAGCAAGCTCCTAATAAGATAGACTCAACTTTCAGCTCAATAATTTATCGTTCTTCAACCATCAAATCTCAAAGAAATAAATTCTTATGTATAAAAATAGACAAGAACCAGATGCCCCACTTCAACGGACATTAATGAAAACGCCCTTCTAACAACATTATTAGGCTCAAATTGCGAGTCAAACCCAACTTTCATCAGTGGCTGTAAAGAAGATTTGGTGTCCCCTAGAAAAAACTCGAATCTCTAGAGAACCTTTGCAGGTGAATTATATAGCATAATTCGCCTTCATTATCTAATTAGCCTATTTTACTTTGGAGATTCCAATTAACTTATCATAGAAAACTCCTCACCTGAACTTGTACAAGAACAGATCCAAAATACACATAGCTACCAAGACCATCTCTACACATTTCAAAAAAGAAAAAAGGTTCGTTGCAAAACTTTAACGAAATCGAAAATCATATCAAGAACAAGCTCTAAATGTACGAAGTTTGAATGGCGGTAGTTTTTATGAATTTGAATCGTCTCTTACATTACTTTCCCGCTTTCGATTTTCGTCCCAACACCTTCAATCTCAGTGGAAAAGCGAGAGTCGCCTCCATCGCCTCGTAAACAAACTTAATCATCTGTAAAATACAAGAACGGATGGAATTCAGAGTCAGAGCAGATACTAAAAAAAAATTACCAAATCAATCGAAATTAAACTCAACCGACGATTCGTGATGAACAAAGTTCCAAGGTCTAGAGTTCCAGTCTTCAAATGCATCGAGATACATGGCCTTTCCACTCCGCTCAGCAGAGTCCATTTTCTGTCTACTGTTATTTTTTTTTTACAAAATAATAATAATAATAACTTTTAGATATTCATAAAACCCAACATTTTTATTCAATTAAATAAATACTTTTTCAACCTAGTCCTTATTTTTAAGATTTTTTTAAATTTATTCTTTACATTTTGGTCAATTCACTAAATATTATTTCGACCAAGTTTAAACTGAAAATAAATAAATAAATAAATAAATAAATCCAAACATTATAAATAAATTTAATTTCTTTCTCTAAATATTTCATTCAAGTCCTTGTCACCATATTTTTCTAAATTATTTGAAAAAATAGGCAAATATTTTATTATGTATGAGGTCTGAAAATAAATTTCAATTATTTATTTATTTATTTTTTTTACAAATCTAATTATATACAAAAATTAAGAAACAAAAATAAAATAAATATGATAATTTAGACAGTGGACTGGCTTCCGATGTTGTGGTCTTTCTTGGTTCCTGTTTATATTTCATCCTTCATGCCTCCCCTAATTTAGGGAATTATCATGGGTTTACAATCCAGGAGTGCTATCTCTATTGTTGCGAAGTTTTTGGGGAAACCAAAACAAAACCATAAGAGCTTAGGCTCAGAGGGACTATATCATATCATTGTGAAGAGTCGTGATTTCTAACCTACATAAATTATAGAGCTTGCTTGTGAGCGAGAGAGGCAACACTAAGCTTTCTCATGGAGATGTCCCGCAGATCTTGACCATTTAATGGCTGCTCTGGCCAACGCATCCATGGGGTCAATGCATTTTTTCAGAATGGGGTCATCTGGAGGAAGAAGATTAAGGAGTTCATCAGAAGCAAGGATTACCATATTCACAGCCCTTGTCAATAGCACATGAACGGCAATTCTCAACAGATTTCTTGCTCCTTCATGATCCCTTTTATGGAAAGCTTCCACTGCAGGAATTACTATATGCTCCATGGTTGCCTTGTCCGGCACGACGACATCAAAGCCCTGTAAGAACACGAGGACTTCAGAAGAAAAGTTTGAGATCGTTCAGTAATTAGTGTAGAAAAATGTTGAGGATTGTTAGGGAATGATCATGGATTTATAAAAGTAAGAAAACTATCTCCCTTGGTACGAGGTTTTTTGGAGAAGCCTAAAGCAAAGCTATGAGAGATTATACTCAAAGTAGACAATATCATACTATTGTGGAGAGTCATGATTCCTAACATAGTGTTAGAACGATGTCCTTAACTTGCCATGTCAGTAGAATCTTCGAAAGTTCAGACAAAAGCAACTCAAGTGTCGAACAAAGGATGTACTTTGTTCGAGGACTTTAGAGAATAAGTCAAGCTTCTCGCAGTAAAAACTAGAGTATCAACCATGAGGTGTGAATGCATTTACAAAACCTGCTTTTGTAGCCTCTCGTGGTAAAAACCAGTTAGTGTTGCTGTATCAGTTGCAAGCAAGCCAATCCGGACATTGCTACCTGCTTCAAGTTGCTTAAGCTTAGCCTCATTAAGCTCACTAGCTACACAATCTCCGACGTGAAGGAAAGGTAATTTGGAGCTCTCAGATGTGTCACCAAGCCACCTATGTGAAAGATGGCAAGGTGTGATTAGACATCGAGCTCCCGACTGCTCGAGAAACGCCGTTTTCTGCTTCAAATTCTCGATGATCATGGCATCACTATGAGGAATTCCCTTGTCTAATACTGGATCGCTGCAGACAACAAAAGGTATGCTCTCTTCTCCATCCTTCCTACTCCACCAAACGAGCTTTTCCATGAAAAGTAGAGTGGAAAAAACCGACACTCCCCCTATGACACCCACAGTATTTGGCTGGACAAGAAGGGGCTTAAGAGTTCGAGTTTTCAACAGAGATTTTCCCGAACTCGACATCTTCTTGGATGCTGCTAAGTTGTCATTCTCATCAGTTTGAATAACAGAGAAGATCTGTACAGATAAATACTGGTTTAATCTCCTTCTAAACCGAAAAACGCTCTCATTGGCATTTCGTCGAACACCTGCTGGGCAATTCAATGCATAAAATGACATAGCCATACCACCATCAAGCATCATTTATGCAAAGAGCAAGAACTTCAGTGTGATTCATCTCGACATTCAAGGCGTTGAATCAACAGAGACGAAAAGCAACAATTATTGCAGACTACAGCTTGTTAGATAGATAGTTTAGTAAGGGCAAATGGTGTCGAGCAAAACTAGGTAAGACATGAAAAGAAGCTTACATTATTGAAAATCTGTCATATCTAAGCTTCTTCTCAGCAGTGAAACGCTGTCAGCCGTTGAAGAGAAGAACGACAAAAATGGAGGGATCGGGGTGGGACAGAGCACCGGATAGAATCACTCTGCTTTCAAAGCCCTCCAATCCCCTTCTCACACCATACTCAATTTTTTATTTTTTGTTCTTAAAAATTAAAATTTTAAATACTTTTTATTCATCTTTGTTAAATTAATGTGTACAAAAAATGCGAATCGGAAAATTGGTATTTGGTTATTTAATTTAAAATGATCTCCGCCATGTAAAATGAAAAAAAAAAAATTGAAAATTGAATTCCATGGAAGGCCGTCTATGACGATGATTTTGTTGCTGCTCTTCCACTTCTCTTACGCCCTCTCTTCTTCTTCTTCTTCTTCCAATTCCTTCTGAGAAGAATACCAATGGGGGAAGATTTGCGTAAACGTAACACTGATTGCGTCTATTTCTTGGCTTCACCTCTTACCTGCAAGAAGGTCAGCTTTTCATGCTTAATAAATAATAATCGTACCTCTTTTCACGTTACAATTCCTTCTCGATGTGAACACCGGGGAATTTGGCTCATGCTTCCGTTATCTTATCACTACTGTGAGGATCTTGCTCTGCATTTGAAGGATTTTTTGTTGCATTCCCTCGAAATGCATCGGCGTGATTTTTTTCCTGTTTGAGTTCTCTAATTTTACTTGTTTATGTGTTTGAATTTACGCTGTCGATCATTAGATTTCTCGGTTTTAATGTGGAATCAGCTTTTCGTGTTTATGTTTATGTAATGAATATGGCAACTATTTTTTTTCAGGGTTTTGATTGTGAGTATCGGCACAGCGAGATTGCTAGGGTGAACCCTAGAGATTGTTACTACTGGCTGGCGGGAAACTGCTTGAATGCAGCATGTGGTTTTCGGCATCCGGTAAGCTGATTATCTGTTTGTTCATATTCACCGGAGCTTGGTTGCAGTCGGTGGCTGATTCATCTACCTTGTTTATACATGTTTAGCAATGAAACTTGTTTGGTCTGAACACTTTCTTTGAATCCTCCAAGACTTAGGTTGAATTTACTGTCATTTTGTTGAAATTCTTTTCCTGGTTCTCAAGTTTGCATATGCCGTGTCCTGCTTTTGCTTGAAAGCTCAATCCCCATAACTTTGGTATCTGTAATCACAAATTTGTGCATGTCAGGATGCAACTAAGAACATAGTTTTTTGTTTTGTAAATTTCATTTTGGAATGTAAGTTGTTTGGAAAGTAAGCAATGTTCTAGAGAATTTATTGTGCTAATTTAAGACATAAATTGAGGAAGTGATACTGTTTTTGGTTACTTTGTCATGCAATAAACAGCAGTGGTTGTCATCTTTATGGATGGATCGAAGAGCTAAGTATCTACCTCGAAGGGGGTAGATTGTGAGATCTCACATCGGTTGGGGAAGAGAAGGAGAACGAAACATTCTTTATAAGGGTGTGGAAACCTCTCCCTAGCATGTTTTAAAAACCTTGAGGGGAAGCCCGAAAGTGAAAGCCCAAAGAGAACAATATGTGCTAGCGGTGAGGTGAGCTTTGGCCGTTCCAGTAGATTGTTACAAATGCAAATATTATAATGTTTTGTTGACCTTGTTCTAGGTGGTGAACACAAGTAATAATAGGAACCTGTTGATAGTTTTGATATGAACTTTTCCCCTTACCTTGTGAGTATCAATTGGTCTTCTAGGAACTTTATCATGCTCTCATTATGTAATACCATTGTGTTTAAAAATTTTGTTTTCCTTTTTCTCCTTAGCCAATGGATAGTCCTGCTGGAACAGTGTTAGAATCTTCTCTATGTTCTGTACCTGTGAACAAGACAATCATTCCCTGTTATTTTTATTTCAATGGCTGCTGCAGTAAAGGTGATACATGCTCTTTTTTGCATGCCAATGATATTTCTCTTGCTACAAGATCTACAAAGACAGTATTTCCTAGCGGCAACGCGTCGTCCTCTGAAGATAAAACGGCTTCCGGGAACAAAAAAGGACTAGACTCTACCGACGCAGATGCATTTCTTCATCCATCGAAAAAAGTAGCTTGTCCGAAAATTGATGTTACATTTCAATGCTCGAGTCTCGGTCAACCTTCTGAAAATGTATCACATCAAAGTGCCTCTGCAAAGATCTTGTTGCTTGAGTGTGAAAAAGTGGCTGTTGATGAGCTTCTCTCCTCGTCTCCAGCTGTGGGATCTAATGACAGTACATCTCATGTACATGCTGTTGCAGATCAGAGATATGAGGAGCCGATGACGGACAGTACTGAGGAAGGCAACCTATCCCCTGGCTTTGACGTCGTCGTAGGTGATGGGTCGGGGAATTTGGCTAGCCACGATGATCCAGAGTACGTCCTGTCAACGAATCTGGAACAAAGAGAACTGGATACTGGATTGTGCAGGGAAAACTTTGAAGACCATATTGCCTATGAGTCAATGCATTCTGATTTAGAACTTCTTTATGAACATGAGATGCACTCATACAACCACTTAGAGACCGAACCTGTTCTTTTCAATGACAGAAACATCATCAGCTGTCCGAGACGGAAACTCATCAAGTCCATGTTTTCTCAAAAGAAAAGGCTCACGCTCGTGAATCTAGATTCGGAGGAATGGAATCATGCCGATCTTCGAAGCTATCTGCAGAGAGACAGCGTTTCTGGTAATCGTTCGATTGTTAGTTTATCAAGGAGAAGAAATGGATTGTCATGTCGAATGAGTGGAAACTTTGTGAAACCTCGGAAGCCTGGTTTGTATCAACCACCCCTTGGAAGAAGACTGGCATTACAGGTCGGGAAGATTTCTAGAGGATCACCTCCAGAAAACATAACCTTTTCAAATGGTTTTAGTCAATATGGATCATTTAGACACTCGAGACAACACAGACCCTGCGGGCACTACGACGAATACGCTCCGACCAGACCACAGCAAACATTGTTAGACATGTCAAGAAAATCCATCTTGAGGGAACCTGTCGTAAGGGATCGTGGATTCAATCTGAAGTCTGTTCCATTCAAAGGACCGAAAACCCTTTCGCAGATCAAGGAAGAGAAACGAAAAGTAGAAGAAAATGGAGGATTCTCGATCGAAAAACGTCGTTCGATTGGAGCTGCATCATCCTCAGCTGACTTTAGAGGGCCAAAAGCTTTGAGTGATATCCTGAAAGACAAAAGGAAGGTGGAGGAGGAGGAGCTGGTGAAGGAAATGAATAGACATCATATATTGCTTTAGTTAGTGTTAGCTGAAACAGAAGCTCAACTTGAGTGTCTATGGCGGCTTTGCCATTCTTTTAACGGTCTTCATTCAGTATTTGAGTGTATGCGTCTGATCCTTAAACTTCCATATTCAGTTTACCAGAAAAATCAGTTTACAAGAAGATGATATTAGTGTTTAGGTTGTAAATAGTCAAATAATATAATTATTTTTTTTAATTTATATTTCTTTCGTTACTATTGTTTCGTATTTTCTAAAAAAAAAACATTTTTTAAATTATAAAAAAAAATTATTTGTATTTTTTAATGCATAATTAAAAATTATTTAAAAAAACGTAATTTAAAAAAATTAAAACGGATTAGAAGCTAAATCATGAAATAATCAATTATTGATATAATTTGGGGCATTCTTTTGGTCAAATTAATTTCACTAATTATGGATTTTTGTTGTCTAATCCAATTAATTCTATTTTTAGGTTTGACTAAATATATCCAATTTTGTTAATCTTTTATTTTAGTTATTTCAATTAAATTTAGTTAATATGTTTTCAACTAATTTTTCTAAAAATAATTAATCTCTATCAACCTTTTTTATATAAAATTTTGGAAACAAATATAAATTACATAAAAAGAACACATTTTATTAAAATTTAATGAAATTAGGAAATAAAATTTAAATATTTCAAACTACAATAGTAAAATGTAAAATAAATTGAATATTAAAGTATATAAACTAATAATAATTAAAAAAATCGTATAAAAAAACTTCACATTTCATGATTTCATGATTTATTTTGTTAAAAAAAAAAAATTGAAACCAAATAAACTTAACCAATTCAATAAAAAAAATAATGAAAAAGGGAATAAAAATAAGAAAATCTATTTATGGAGAGAAATTGATGGTCACTGACTTGGTCAACTGAGTTTTTTTCTTTTTTTTCTTTTTTTATCCAATTCCAATATTTAAAAAAAAAAAAAAGAATAAATAAATAAAATTTATATTTTTAACCAATTTTCCCCAACTGAAATTTTGTTGGTTTTATAAAACAAAACAAAGCCCAACAATCCAAAACCAAAAAAAAAAAATAAAATAAAAGAAAAAAAGATCGAATCTTTTTCTATTATTTCTTCTTCTTGGATCTCCGATTACACAATAAACATGGCGGGGTTACAGAGGTCCGCCGTGTCATTCCGGCGACAGGGCTCCTCAGGCTTGGTCTGGGAAGACAGATTCTTCAGTGGCGAATTGACACCGACAATGCGCCGTCATGAAGAACAACCTCAACGTGACGCTCTTTTCCTTTCCGGAGAATTGAGGCCTTCTCGCAACGTTGGATCCGCCTCCACCTTTGAACGGTCACGATCTTCCGCCTCCCATAGAATAGAGGCTATATCCCCGTCACGCTCGCCGAGCGCCGCCAATCCATCTTCACCGAAGTTCACTGGCTGCGGCTTCTGCGGCGTGTTTGGCCGACCCATCGGCGGTTCTCGCCAACACAAATCCAAGCGTTGATCGGAGTAATTTTATTT